GTATTAGTTCATCAGGAAACAAATTGGGAGACTTGAAAGACATGGAAAGAGACAACTTCCATTTAAGCTGCTCCTCCCTTTTCCTCTTCCCTGTTTTCTTGCATTTGAAAGGTTACAAAGGATCACCCAACCTCTTCCCATAACTATTCTGATGATTAAAATCTTGCAGTGTCAGAATGCTCTTCCTTTACATGTGTCATGAATTCAGTCGCTCAGTCCACAACGTTCCCTGTGCATCTGTTCTGGGCTCTGCGCAAAGTCCCTCCCTGTGTCCTCAGGGCTCACCCCACTAAACCCCTCTGCTCCACTTGCAGTGCCTTTGGTCGTATGCTGTGCTACAGGAAATAAGCGAGAGTCTTTCAAATACCCAACCTTCTTCAAGCAAAATAATTCCACTTCCTCAAATTCATATAGGAAGCACATTACCAATTCTTTTAATTTTCCAACCTCTCCAGGGAGCATCAATTTCATGTAATAGGAGAAGGAATACAGGCCAGACCCCACTGCATCATGGGCACTGACCCTGTTACACAAAAAGGATGATGCTTTGCATGCCTCTGAAGAATAACAAACATTCATGCTCTTTTCTCACTGTTCTTTTCAGTATTCTATTTTTAATAGAAGATTCTAGAAATGGGATCAAGTTGCTAACCAAACTTTGTAGCCTTGAATGTACCAGAAAGTATCACTGTATTAGGTGGGACTCAATCTCATAAGTAGCATTTGAGGCTCCTTGCTCTGTGTAAACCTCCCTCCTGCAAACAGACCTTTTAAACTATAGTCCTCATTTCCAGATAGTACTGCGATCTGGGGAAATCTCTGCCTCCTTATAAAATACCAGTTAGGTACCAAGCAAACCATCTTTTAGGTCAAACACTTTCCACAGTATTTTCAGATATACTAAAGATGGTAGGAGCTGTGGATGGCATTTAAAACCTCTGTAAAACTCTATAAAAACTCTCTAGGGGAAAGGCAGCTGAAATCTTAATGTTCAGACTCTGAAACTTACCAATCACATTTCAAAGGAATAGTTTTCCCCGCTAGCAGCTTTGTTTTGCTGGGTGTGTTTCTGCACAGCAAACAGACAGCACATGTGGGAAGCCTGGTGTCGTCCGCCAGAGAAGGGCTTGCCCAGCTCGCTGGGCTGCAACCAGGCCTTGCACCAGGGCAGGGACGCCTGAAGCCCAGGGCAGTCTGGCTCTCGACAGGAGGAGGGGTTAAATTTCCTTCCAAAGGAGTATCATTGCTATGAGGCTGCACTGTCAGCTGAAAGTTAAAAGAGAATCTTCATTCTGTCACTTTAGTAACAAATTAATCCCATTTCCGAACGTAAATCTAAATCTTGTTGATGACCATGTGAGGGCCCCGCATCTGGATCTTCTTTAAAGTCAATTATATCACCCTCTCACTCCATCTCCCTCCTGTTCTTTTGAGCTTGGCAGTAGTGAGGGGCAAGTCTCTGATCGTGGCCCCAAGAGGAGCTGTGAGTTGGGAAGGTGCTGGGGCAGGAATGAGGGTTTCCCATGGGCCCTCAGTGCTGCGCAGGCCAGCGGGGCTGTGGAAGGAAGGAGAGCTGGATGCAAGTGACAGCTGACAGGACAGCCGGCTGCCCCAGCCAGGCCTTCACACCCAGTCAACGTATATAAATACGTTCCTGCACTGAAGGAAGGTTCAGAGGGAACAGAGATGATGATGGACATGAACCAGGCAAAAAAACCCATATAGCAGACATCCGGGAAAAGAAAACAGGGTGATCAACCCTACATTCTACATCTGAATCCCTGGATCCAGGCAGCATTAGTTGCCTAACTTCCTTAGAACATTTAACCAAAGTAATTATATGGCAGCAAGAGCTACTAGGAGCTCAAACAAATCCTCTTTTCCTCTAAGAGGAAGCCAGAGGACCATTAATGGATATAATGCAAGACGACACATTCCAAAATCTGTTCAATTAATTAACACCGGTGAGGAAAATCTGGCATGTTACTGCAGCTGTTTGTAAAAAAGGAACACTTGCCTTTCTAACTGCTGATTTGTTCTAAAAAATGACTCCATTCTGTTTTATAAAAGCAAGGTGGCAAGTGGGAAGACAATCGCTAACTTAATGGTCCTACTGTGGGTTTTTATGAACAAAACCTCTGTGCTTTCAGCAGCTTGAGAGCTCACTAGCAACACTATTCAAAGCTGCAAGAAGAAAAGATTATGTTAAATGTAATCACAGTTCAAGGCTTCACAGATTTTCCTTTGATCTGCCTCTTAAGGGAATTTATGATATACCCAGGGATAATCCAAGAAAAAACACTGTCCTTGTGCCCTGGAAGAACCCAGGTGCTGCAGTCCACAATTACTGAGGCTACTCCCTAAGGCAGAAGCCCAGCCCTGCGGCCTGGTGCTGGGAGCCGCAAAGGACAGGCTGCTGGTGTCCACACCTTGGCCTCAGCCCACCTGCTGAGCTCTTTCCCCTGATTTTTCTCTCTAGAAACCCTGAATTGGAAAATAAGTTGGCAGGTCCACAGGGTCCTCCCGCCTCTAGACTGTGGTACACGCTGTCAGTCTAGATGATGCTTGCTGGATGCACGTTTTTGGGCCACCTAGGGCCCAGCATCAGGGCAGGGCCCCTCCTCACTGCTAGCAGCACAGTTTAGTGGTCCCTCCCCCATCCCCAGCCCCATGTCCACTCTTTTTTGCTAGCTATTTACCTACCATCACCCTTCACCTAGTGGGTCACAGAACAAAGAACACTGTGGATTGGTTAACCTGATGCTTAAATAAAATTAAAAATAGGGTTATTGAAACCTATAGAGAACTCTGGGTGTCTTTCCTAAAGAGATGGCTTCTCAGGCACACACAGGGGAAAGACGGGGCTCCTGGAAATTTTCAGCCCTGCACTCCCCTTTGACCTGTCACATTCCAGAGCTAGTGAGGGGCAGAGCCAGGACACAAAGCAGGGTCTAAGTCCAGGGCTTTCTGCAATCCCATCATTCTCTTCTACACTGGGATTTTACTGTTAACTTTTTGGAGTAAAATATGCACTCATGGCTTTGCATTTATTTACACAGCCTACCTATTTCTATGACTTTCAGAATAGCACATTTAGTTTGTTCTAAGAATTAGAATCCACAAATAGCAAAAGCTCTGTTTAACTTCCCAAAGCTCCCTGTGAAATCACGTGAGGAGGTAAGCCAAACACAAATTCTGGGCTGTGATGGACAACAGCACTGTCTGGAGAGAGTCGGGCCTCCTTCTGGCCCTGAAACTACCAGGCCTCGCCATAATCTGTTTATTTACTCATTTAACACATATTCATTGAATACCTACGCTGAGCCAGGTACCTAACTCGGAGCTGGGGTTAGCAGTGAATAAGACAAACCAAATCCTTCTGCTCAGAGCTACTGCATTCAAGCTGGAGAAACAGACAGTAAACAGAGAGACAAATTAACCAGAAGAATACCAGCAAGTAAAGGTGTCAATGTAGAGAACTGGCGGGGGCGGGTGGTGATGGGGTCTGATGGATGGCACTGTTTTTAAGGTCGGAAGGCTAAAGAAAGCTTTCTGATAAAGTGACATTTAAAGAGATCTGAAGGACAAGTAAGAATTTATTCATGCATATGTCTGGGAAAAGAGAATTCTAGGCAGAGAAGAGTAAACACACAGTCCCAAGGCACAGTGAGGCACAGTGTGTTCAAGGTGGGGCTGGAACCCAGGGACTGTGTAGAAGATGGACAGGATGAGGTCTGAGAGCAGGATGGGACCAGATCTGACAGAGCTGTGCAGCCAGTGTGAGCAGTTGGATTTAGAGTGCAGCAGTGGGGCCCCTGGAAGGTTTGAAGCAGGGGAACAATGTGGTCTGATTACAGTTAAGGTTATATCCAAATGATGAGGCTCTATGGTGGGAAGTACTCCTAGGCCAGTCCAACAACTCAGTGGTGCTGCCCAGAATTTCAGACAATTGTATCACCACAGCCCGCACCGGGCCAGGGGAAACCATGCCAAGGCTACGCCCACTGCTCCTACTTAGACGGTCCTTAGCTGATTGCCCACAGCTCCACAGGCTTTCTAACATCATCTTAACTCTCAGAGATTCTGATTCTAGCAATGAAGCCCTCACCCACCACTGGTGACAAACCATGAGCAGTGCTTCAACATGCTGCCCTTTCACAGCTTGACCTGGGCCTCGTCGGCCAAGCTATAACTGCTGCTCGTGACTACAGCTAACACTAACTGCGGGACTTAGGGAAGCTCAGCTTCTCTCTGGGTTTTAATTTCTTCCCTTATAAAATGAAAGTTAAGAGGCTCTTAACCTCTTGCAAGTCTAAAGAAAGAAAAGTGCATATGCACACATAATTATATTTTTCATTTCACAGTGTTCATAGTCTCTCTTTTTGTCAGGCCCTGGGTCTCAGGTTAAAAACCCTTGGCCTAGATGACTCCTAGTTTGCCTTTCAATGCTGTAATCAATCGACTACACCCACACTTGAAACAGCACTTTAATCTTCCCTCTCATGGATACTCCGTGTAAATTAGCACCATCAACTAATCTGCCTTTTTTTTTTTTTTTGCGGGACACGGGCCTCTCACTGTTGTGGCCTCTCCCGTTGCGGAGCACAGGCTCCGGACGTGCAGGGTCAGTGGCCATGGCTCACGGGCCCAGCCGCTCCGCGGCATGTGGGATCTTCCCAGACCGGGGCATGAACCCGTGTCCCCTGCATCGGCAGGCGGACTCTCAACCACTGTGCCACCAGGGAAGCCCCTAATCTGCCTTTTAAAAAGAAAAGAGAGGAGAAGGAATGTAGGAAAGGATATAATAAAAAAGAAAAGGAGAAAAAAACTAAAATGATGTTATTGTGAGCCAAAAGATGTGTGATTTAGCTATCCAAATGTGTCCCTGAAACTCAATTTTATCCTTACTCCTTAACTAATGATGACAGAATACAGACCTCTGTCAGCATATGAGAATGTTTATAAATTATATAACAACCTTTTCTTCCCTTTAAGTGAAATGTCTTCACCAAAGTGTAGGGCACACACTAGTACATGTGGAATGATTTTAAGTGGTGCATGAATGTATAGTTTTAATAGATATGTAATTTAATTTATAATATCAAAAATTACTAGCAAACCAAATTATGTCTTCACAGATATTTTTGCTTAAGACACAGCTAAGTAAAAAACAGTGATTCAGTTTAAAGTGAATTTAAAAGCTACTAAGTAAACAGGAGACCAGAATTAGCAAAATTTAGAAGGTTGTGTCTGAATGAGCAGTAGGAAATGTGGGAGGTCTTCATTTCAGAATCCTTTCAGCTGATGTCAAAATAATCTATTAGAGAATAGTAAGGAAGGGCTAGTTAGTCTATAATTTAGTCTATAATTCTCAACTCTACAATTTTTCCATATATAATTTTTTTTTTTACTCAGAAAAACTTTTCTCTTAGCTACCTGTACTTAGATATTTCCACATTGAAAACCCCATGTTCTTAAATGGAACAGAATAAATCACTGTGGAATTTGACCTTGAAAATATCCAGTTAAAAAAAATGGCTGTTTTCTTCAATTGCATTAGAACATAATCCATTTCCTTCTAGATTTACTTACACTTTTCAGGTGGTGTTATTGTAATAGTCTGAGCTGTAAATTCTTCATCAAAGTATCTGGTATCTGTCTCAGATGTTACTTGAGGCTTAAAAGGAGGTACAAGCTGTAAGAAGCAAAAGAGTACTGTTAACAGACTTCAGTTTAGGAAAATTCATTTCTAGGATAAAATTAGAGAGCAAATACTAAATGAATAGTGCAAGAGGCTAGACTGCTCAGTGACTGTGTAAGGTAGATGTAGTATTTGGCTTCACAGTCAAGACTAAACACAGAACAGTAGGTACCTGGTTGTTGTATATTATATTTGAGGGATTATGTGGAACAATAATTGAGAACCAAAGACCAGGGTGCTTCCATGTCCTGGCTATTGTAAATAGAGCTGCAATGAACATTGTGGTACATGACTCTTTTTGAATTATAGTTTTCTCAGGGTATATGTCCAGTAGTGGGATTGCTGGGTCATATGGTAGTTCTATTTTTAGTTTTTTAAGGAACCACCTAAGTGTCCATAGACAGATGAATGGATAAGGAAGATGTGGCACATATATACAATGGAATATTCCTCAGCCATAAAAAGAAACGAAACTGAGTTATTTGTAGTGAGGTGGATGGACCTAGAGACTGTCATACAGAGTGAAGTAAGTTAGAAAGAGAAAAACAAATACTGTATGCTAACACATATATATGGAATCTGAAAAAAAAAAAGGTTCTGCAGAACCTAGGGGCAGGACAGGAATAAAGACGCAGATGTAGAGAATGGACTTGAGGACAGGGGGAGGGGGAAGGGTAAGCTGACAAAGTGAGAGAGTGGCATGGATATATACACACTACCAAATGTAAAATAGATAGCTAGTGGGAAGCAGCCACATAGCACAGGGAGATCAGCTCCGTGCTTTGTGTCCACCTAGAGGGGTGGGATAGGGAGGCTGGGAGGGAGACGCAAGAGGTAGGGGATATGGGGATGCAAGTATATTATAGCTGATTCACTTTGTTATAAAGCAGAAACTAACACACCATTGTAAAGCAATTATACTCTAATAAAGATGTTTAAAAAAAAGCAGAAAATAAAAAATAGGGTGGGAAGAGGATACTGAAAAGTCTGTCCTAATATTTTTTCCTAGTAAAATACATACAAAACCGATGGATTTGGGCTGAAACGAAATGTAGGCTCTTCCTAGGGTGGGAAAGCACAACCTTGCTGGCTTTCTCTAGCTCTTCCTGGTGCCTAGCTGAACAGGTTATTATTAAAAGTGCAATTTGATAACATAGTTGTTACCTACACAGTTGTTACGTAGATCACAGATTAAGTGCTGCCTCTATACTTGGCGGCAAAGAAATATAACTCTGCTTACTTGAAACCCTCTGGAACAGGGGTTCTTGGCAGCCCCCGAAGTGACGTGCAAACGTTTTGCCCATAGATTTTATCCCACTCCTCAAAAGGAACCATGACCCCAAAGATTAAGAGTAACTGCTCCAGGGTTGAGAGAAGTGGACTCATTCGCCTCTGACCAGCAGCAGCCATGGGATGGGGGAAAGTCTTGGGGTGCTGGAGATGACAGAAGCCTGAGCCATGTGAGCCTCCACTTCTGCTACCTCTGTTGGCTGGGAGGGACTGGAACCAGGAGGGGGCTCCTGATTCTCAGGGCTCCAGCCTCACAGGTGAGAGCCTACAGGTTTCTTTTTAACATAGGAAGCCCAGACTCAGGGCGTGGAGTCAGAGTATGTGCTCTGATGAATACCATTCAGATAGAAAAATGGAAAACAGAGTGACAGAAATTAGTATATTTTATAAAAATTTTACAGAAACAAATACACAACTGGCATCATTCAATGCATTTTCCACTGTTACTGTCACCAAATTTATGTTAAATAAGACAAAAATCTTTAAATTATTCTCCAATGTGTTTTTTTAATTCATGCTATTTTTTTTACATCTTTATTCGAGTATAATTGCTTTACAATGTTGTGTTAGTTTCTGCTGTACAACAAAGTGAATCAGCTATATGTATACATATATCCCCACATCCCTTCCCTTTTGAGCCTCCCTCCCACCCTCATCACAAAGCATCAAGCTGATCTCCCTGTGCTATGCAGCAGCTTCCCACTAGCCATCCATTTTACATTTGGTAGTGTATATATGTCAATGCTGCCCTCTCACTTCATCCCAGGTTCCCATTCCCCTCCTTTGTGTCCTCAAGTAAGTTCTCTACGTCTGTGTCTTTATTCCTGCCCTGCCACTAGGTTCATCAGTACTGTTTTTTTAGATTCCACATATATGTATTAGCATACGGTATTTGTTTTTCACTTTCTGACTTACCTCACTCTGTATGATAGACTCTAGGTCCATCCACCTCACTACAGATAATTCAATTTTGTTCCTTTTTATGACTGACTAATATTCCACTGTATATATGTGCCACATCTTCTTTATCCATTTATCCGTCGAAGGACGTTCAGGTTGCTTCCATGTCCTGGCTACTGTAAACAGAGCTGCAATGAACATTGTGGTACATGACTCTTTTTGAATTATGGTTTTCTCAGGGTATATGACCAGTAGTGGGATTGCTGGGTCATATGGTAGTTCTATTTTTAGTTTTTTTAAGGAACCTCCATAGTGGCTGTATCAATTTACATTCCCACCAAAAGTGCAAGAGGGTTCCCTTTTCTCCACACCCTCTCCAGCACTTATTGTTGGTAGATTTTTTGATGATGGCCAGTCTGACTGGTGTCACACTGGCCACACCTCACTGTGGTTTTGATTTGCATTTCTCTAATGATTAGTGATGTTGAGCATCTTTTCATGTGTTTGTGGGCGATCTGTATATCTTCTTTGGAGGAATGTCTACTTAGGTCTTCTGCCCATTTTTGGATTGGGTTGTTTGTTTTTTTGATATTGAGCTGCATGAGCTGCTTGTATATTTTGGAGATTAATCCTTTGTCACTTGCTTCGTTTGCAAATATTTTCTCCCATTCTGAGGGTTGTCTTTTCATCTTGTTTATGGTTTCCTTAGGTCCCCTTTGTTTATTTTTGTTTTTATTTTCATTACTCTAGGAGGTGGATCAAAAAAGATCTTGCTGTGATTTATGTCAAAGAGTGTACTTCCTATGTTTTCCTCTAAGAGTTTTATAGTGTCCAGGCTTACAATTGGGTGTCTAATCCATTTTGAGTTTATTTTTGTGTATGGTGTTAGGGAGTGTTCTAATTTCATTCGTCTACATGTAGCTGTTCAGTTTTCCCAGCACCACTTATTGAAGAAACTGTCTTTTCTCCATTGTATATTCTTGCCTCCTTTGTCAAAGATAAGGTGACCATATGTGCATGGGCTTATCTTGGGCTTTCTATCCTGTTCCATTGAGCTATATTTCTGTTTTTGTGCCAGTACCATACTGTCTTGATTATTGTAGCTTTGTAGTATAGTCTGAAGTCAGAGAGCCTGATTCCTCCAGCTCTGTTTTTCTTTCTGAAGATTGCTTTTGCTATTCGGGGCCTTTGTTTCCGTACAAATTGTAAAATTTCTTGTTCTAGTTCTGTGAAAAATGCCATTGGTATTTGATAGGGATTGCATTGAATCTTTAGATTGCTTTGGGTAGTACAGTCATTTTCACAATGTTGATTCTTCCAATCCAAAAACACGGTATATCTCTCCATCTGTTTGTACCGTCTTTAATTTCTTTCATCAGTGTCATATAGTTTTCTGCATACAGGTCATTTGTCTCCTTAGGTAGGTTTATTCCTGGGTGTTTTATTCTTTTTTTTGCAATGGTAAATGGCAGTGTTTCCTTAGTTTCTTTTTCAGATTTTTCGTTGTTAGTTATAGGAATACAAGACATTTCTGTGCATTACTTTTGTATCCTGCTACTTTACCAAATTCATTGATTAACTCTAGTAGTTTTCTGGTGGCATCTTTAGGATTTTCAGACTATGTTTTAGAAAACCAAGGGATGAGCAGAATTAAAAGCATTTTTTCGAAATAAAGCACCACATTTCAGTTTGCAGCACATGTTACAAAGCATTTTAAGTTTCTTTTCTTGTTAACATTCTTTCTCTCTGCCCCCAGAACGCAGATATTCTAAAGTCTCTATCATTAGCAATCACTTTTTGGGGAACTGAAACAAATTCAGGTTCCACTGATGAGCTGTAATGGCTGCTAAGGTACAAGAACACGTTTCTAGCTGCTCTGTTAGGATGACTGGAAACAAGTAAGCAGTTCACTCCACTAATGGAAATCTTCCCTCTTCCATTCATTCAAAAGCTCATTCTCACACTGCTTTGTTTTTCTTCAAGACTTTTCAACATCTGACACATATACACATGCATCACCATTACACCTTCTTCCCAATAAAATAAAAGTTCCATAAGAGCAATGATTTTTAAAGTCCCTCACCGGCATCATACACATGCACACAACACCAACGATGATAGTGACTGGAGAATTTTTGGTTTTCCTTTTAGAAAACTGAGGGATAACTGCCTCTCTGGCAGGCAAGTAGGAGACTGGGATTCTGGTTGTGACTTTCTTTCAGATTCACCATTCTACAAATGTTCAAAAAATAGGTCTCATCCTTTCAATAAAAAAGAATTAACCACAAGAAATTCTTCGAGCAGAAATGGGCTTCTATTGGGCATGTGGAGTAGGTTTTGCTTACCTCTGCCCACCCTTCCCATATGGCTCCTTCTGATGGCAGAAATGTAAATCTTAAATCTGCCTTCAAGTTAGGGGAAAGCTGTTATCTTTTTAGATGAGAGACAGAATGGTCACCTGAAACTTTAAAAAAACTGAAACAAATCTTTAAACAGTTTTCAAAAGATTACAGGGCGCTTAAACTAGTCTGTTAAAATGTCATGATACTACATTTACCTGACCTCCTCTCTCAAACAGCTGCCCTCCCCATTACTTTCTATCCTCACACTGCTATATTTTTCTTTAAAAGACTTTTCAACATCTGACACAATACACACCTATATATACACATGCAAAATACAGGTTTATTGTCATTACACCTCCTCCCCAGTAAAATATAAGTTCCACAAGGGTAAGTACTTTTAAAGAACAGTTTTATGATTGACATACAATAAACTGCACACATATCTTAAGAGTGTACAAA